ATTTATCGAAAAATATAAGAAAAACATTAAACTCAGACTCACACTTTGGTCATACAATTGTAATTACAGCTATACGTTTTTGGGTAAAATTTTGAAAACGTTTACTCGTTTTTGTTATCATACCATCTAGTACGTAGTAGTAATGTTTATAACGTTTTTTTTCTCATTTAATATTATTTGTATATCAAACAGGTATGAAAATTGTGCTAAAAAAAATTGTGTTTTCGCGTAAACGCTTAGGCGAGAATTCGATAATCAACACTTCAAATCATATTTTTAAATATTCGTTTACTTTTGAACTCGGTGTCACTTTTAAATCAAGTGCGCCGATTTGCGAAAATATACAAAAACTTTTCTAACAATAAATTGAAATAATTTATAAATCGCAATGGCCTAAAATGAAACCACGGATTTGTTGAAAATTTACCACGAACTTTTGGTGTCACCGCAATAATAAATATTTTAATATTGAGTACAATTCAAAGCAATGAACGTTTTTAAAATTGATAAATCTATTTTATAATTCCGATGTGGAGCAGCGATGCTATTGGTTTTTGCAATGATGTGACCTATTTTTGTGTCTGTATACATTGTAACTTTTTTAATACTGGACCGATTCTTTTGATTGGCAACTCTATAAATCACAAAATGTATCTACTTGGTATTGAGTCGGATCGTCGATTTGAAATTAAAATCTCAACATTTACTTTTTTGTTTTTTGGGGGTTTCAGCCGTAATTTTAAGATTTTTAAGTAGAAAATTTGCCAGTAGTTAGAACTTTCTTTAATTTACGGAAAACTGTGTTTTAGCAGATTGCGTACATTTCAACAAAAAAACTCTAAAATCTTCAAAAAAATGTATCAAATCATTGAAACATTTTTATGTATATCTATGCAGAATGATACTATTAAGTTTTGTGCTCAAGTACAACATTTGACTTTTAGATTATACAAATTTTTTTTTTATCTGTATACACTGTAACTTTTTTAATACTGGACCAATCCCTTCGAGTAGCAACTCTATAAATAGCAAATTTCATCTAGATGGTACTTTGAGGAGGGTAAAAGTTGAAAAAATTTACTTCTCCGCAGTCAAAATTTGAATAATTGACAAAAAAACCGAGTTTTTAAGTTAGAACTTAACTAAACGACTAAATCGTGTATTTGATTACAGTAGGTACACAATTTATCGGGGAAAACCCGATCCGTCTACTTATTAAGGCCGTTTATTTATAAAAATTTACCTTTATGAGAGAGGAAAGTAATTTAATATTAATCATTAATTCATAAACATTTAAATAATATTGTAAGATATTTAAACTTATATCTATTAGTCGAATAAAAAACCTGTGGACGAAACTCTTTTGTACTCTAAATATATTGTCAACATGCCGTACATTACGTTAAGATAATTATTATGGAGAATTCTTGTCTAGTCGAGACTTTTTTAAAAAAACAAAGTTAATAAATTTAGACACCTACCAGTACGTAAAAAATGAGGTTTATTATACCTTTATTTAGTCGACTTTTTATTTATTGTTAGTTAACTACATCAATAACTATATTAGTACTTGTCTCTGATATGTGGCGTGTAAGATAACATGATCGTTTTCATCCACCGATTAATTAGTATCAATTCTTTATGTTAAAACTAACAATATGTTCAATCTGATATTTTAATTAAGTTTTATGAGATACCAATTTTATTTATTTAATTCGCTTAATTATGTATATAAATAACAATTTTTGTATGCAGGAGGAAGTGGTGGTAAAACCGACAACGGCAAAGGTAAAAACATTTTTTATTTCATTTACTAACTAAATATGTAATTAATAAAATACTATCAATTAACTGTTTAGGGTTAAACGAGGTTTTCAATTCCGATCCGTAAATGATTAAATAACACATATATATATATATATAATATGATTATTGTATAAACATATATAAGTAAAAAATTATTAAAACTTGAATGTGGTATTATATTTACATCATTATCAATTCCGAGGTCTTAGAATAATTTTATATTAAATTATGTGTCGCTCAGTGGCCACCCTGTAGACGTGTGTCTGGCCAGATACCAAAAAATCGTGTTACATATCAATTCAACAAGATTTTTTCTCCCGATTTCAAATATGAAATTATTTTTTTTGTAAGAAAATTGTTAAATGAAATACGACTTCTATTTTAAATCATTTTAAAATTGAAAAAAAAATTAATACCATTTATTGTACCCATAGAGCATCCTGAATGTCTCGTTTAAAGCTCGGTAGAACTTTACATTACACCCTGTATATTACATATATATATATATATATATATATCAGATATTTCTTCTCCATTAACCAGTCGTACTTACAGTACGACAGACTGTTGTTTTTTGTTGATTAGTTATACTTTATTGTTAATTTAATAACTACAATATTAACTAAAATCCATGTATTTAATGTATAAGCTAATAATTAATGGTAAGCGTTTTCACGATAAAAATAAGAGAGGATTATCTGTTCATTAATAAAGTTTTTTCGGAATTGCTTGTTAAAATATCTATTATTTTGCATTAAGAAAATTGTATAATAAATAACATTTTGTGTATGCAGATCCAAGTGTGAGTCACTCACCCGTAAAAATATTAACCGATTGTCTTTTACCAAAAAGTATGTATTTTTTTATTTTTCATTTTTTATTTTGTATGAATAATTTTTTTTTATACAGCCAAAAATGATAATAAACCCATGCACGGTGAGTGTTTTTGAAGTTTTTAGTTTTAAACTATACAAGATAGCAATGAAGTTTCGTATATTTTTGCAAAAGGCAGTTTATTTGTACAATTTTAATTTTATAAGACGGAAAACTAATTTCATATTAATCTCTTGTTCAAAAATATTAAAATAATACTGTAATAGATAATACTAAAAGAGACTTGGTTTAAACTCTGGTTTTAATTGTTTGCATAATTTAATTGCGTTAATGTATTTAATGTATTACAGCCGATAAAGAAAGCCCCAGTTTATTGCTTGGTTAATTGTGGATAATTCTTGTCTAGTCGAAACTTTCGAAAAAATAAAGCTTTTCAATTTAAACAATACATATATTACATAGTAGATTGATATACTGCAATATTAATATTTGTCTTTGATATGTGACGTGAGAGATAATATGAGCTTTTTCATCTTCTTTCCGATAAATTTGTATTATTTCATTATGTTAAAATAAACAATGTGTTAATTCTGATACTTGAATTAAATTTTATGAGATACCACCTTTATTTATTTTTTTCGCTTTATTATGTATATAAATAACACTTTTTGTATGCAGGAGGAAGTAGTAGTAATAAGTACAATACGGGCAAAGGTAAAAACATTTTTGGTTTAATTTATAAAAAAAAAATATGTAAATAAGATACTATTAATTAACTGTACAAAGTTAAACGAGGTTTTCCATTCTGATCCGCTAATGATTAAATAAAATCAAAAAATTTTTTTGTACACAGGAGTTGCGAGCGCTGACCATGTTCGCTATTTCGGTAGATATACTGTAACTGTTTTAGGTTAACTATGAAAAATTCTTGTTTTTAGTTTTTAACGTAATACAGATATTGTAATCTACTTATTTTGCTTTTATTGTGTATAAATACAATTTGTTGTATGTAGGATTAGAGGACAGAGATGCTGAAGAAAGGAAACGTATTAGTGCAGCTATCAGTATGTATACTGTTACTATTTTAGCTTACTTAATTATAGAAAACTCTTGTCTTGTCGAAACTTTCAAAAAAATAAACCTCATCAATTAAAACCGATACAAGTAGTAAAGCTAAGTTAATTTAGTAGACTAATTATTTATTCTTAATTCAATATAATTTCGATTGTGTTTGATTGGCCATGTGAAAGATAAGATGAGCGTTTTCATCATCCACTCACAGATATACTTGTATTAATTTTTTACGTTAAAATTAACAATACGTTAATATTGATAATTGAACAAAGTTTTATAAGGTATAATTATATTATTTATTTCATTTTATTTTGTATAAAAACCATTTGTTTTATGGAGATGATAAAAAACAGGGCAAATCATCTGTTCAGTGCATTATGTCATATTTTATGAACTGATTGTTAAAATATCTAATATTTTGTATTAATAACACTTATTTATGCAGAAAATAGTGAAGGTCACAGTTTCGAAGGCCTAGTATCTAAAGTATGGAGTACACCAAAAGGTTCTAATTCCGGTATGTTTGCGTTCGTAGTTTTTTTGTAATTTTTTTGTGTGAATTATAATTTGGATTTTTTGAATATTATATAAATTACCATAGTTCATACGATCCGTTAATGATAATTCTTACATTTTTATTTTTAACTCGGATTTATTTCACTATTATTACTGTTAGTATAATATTTGATTGTAGGCCGACATAAGAGACGGAGAAAAAATATTTTTCTCAGTCCGTTGCACAACAGTTGTTGTTAAAAAATTCAATGAATAGAATAATCTTAAAACAAAAAGCTTACAATAATTTTTTACTTTATGATCTTGAAATATTGGTAAAAAAACCCTATCAATTCATTTTACAACAAGAAGTTAGAGCATGTTTACCTAAAATTGGGGTTAGTAAACATAATTTAAGATGTTTTTCAATCTAATAACTTTACGTTGATATTTTTTTCTAGTTCTTAACCTACAAATGATGCAATTATGATTTGTTGTTAGGCTTAAAACTTTATTTATACAATTAATTGCCAGACATTTTATAACTATAGCATGGGGGCAAAATCACCTAATAAAATATAGAAATTTCTATAAAATTACTATGGTTGGATAATTATACCATTATCCAAGCAACGATGTAGGTATAACTGTTCAATTAAATTTTGGTCAAACCATCGTTATTAAAATTAATAAATAAAATAGAAAAATGCTATTATTTTACGTTAATAAAAAAAAAGGTCAATAGGGTAGCTGAAAACCAGTGATTATTATATAAGGATTATTGTTTTCAGAGAGAAAGTAATGATTGACATAAACTTATTATGAAAGCACTAAGATTAGTTGTATGTATTTAATTCATTTTTTTTAATTGAATAAGAAATTGTGTATTATACATTTAGTTTTTTGTGTTATATTTTATTATTTTTTTTTATACAGCATGCTGAACCGTCATTGATCTTTACTCAGATTAAAAAAAAAAAATTTAATTCTATAGAAATATAAGTTACAAAAATTATAGCTATTTTATTTATATCTAATATGATTTTTTTTGATAAGAGATTTAAGTGTCTTTTTAGTGTTATACATTTAATTTATGTTATTAAAATATATTATGGATTAATTGTTTAAATTTATATCCAAACGTTTTTCTTATGTTTATTACAGTATATTCGATTAATTTGAATCACAATTTCATTTTGCTTCAATTATTTTAATTCTGTATAATAAATATTATGACAATTTATATAGTATCACTGTATTATTTTCATTCTATAGAAATATATGTTAAGTATAGTAATGTTAACTATTGTATTCATATCTAACGCATTGATTTGTTCTTAAGAATTTTAATTATATTTTTAGTGTTATACAATTATTTAGTGTTCATACATTAATAATAGTATTGAAATATAAACGATTTAATTTGAAATAATTTGTATTTCCGTTCAACGTGTTAACAAATTTATTTGATTGTAATGTTTAGTTAATTACATAACGAATTCACAATTAATAACTTTAAAAATGTATAGTGCTTTGATTTATTGAATTCCTTTTAGTAAATATCGCGAACATTTAGATAGTGTCACTGTACATAATACTATATAATATAAAAATTCAAATGTTAATTATGTCAAATTTTCTTTATATTTATTGATAATATGATGTAATCTATACAAAAATTAACTTTTTATATATTTTTTTTTTGATATGGATGTTATTGGAATAATGTATTGTGAAACTTTCTAAATGAAACGAGTATAATGTAGGACATTAGCATCAGTTTTTGGATTTCATACATCAAATAGAGCGCAGCTCATTTACATGTAATTGTGTTTTTATATTTATTCTACCAGAATAATATTTTTGCAGAAAATAGAAAATTGAAAACCATATACACAAAACAACAATAGCAAAGTACACTGGGTGTGTTATGTGCGGTAGGAGTTGGATACATATGTATTTCGAATAAAAACAATTTTATATCATTAAAATCATTAAATGACATTAAAATCATTTCGTAGTCGAAGCGAGTGAACATACATATTAAAATATAGGCCAAAGTATTTGTGATAAATTTTTTTTTCTATTTACTGTTTTATTATCACTACTACTAGGAACTAGTCAACATGTTGACTATATAAAAACAGTGACGTATTAAACATTTCAAACACACTGATTGCTTACAACAATCGCTTTATGTATAGTACTATTATTATACCCTAAATAGCCAAGTACAGTAAAAACCAGCACAGGCTAAACCAGTACAGTCCAAACCAAGTGCAGTCTAAATCAGAATAGTATCCAGAAATTCGCATCGAAGCATTGTTTATAATCTAAATAGGCGTGGGGTGGGAAATGGGTATATTGTAGACTTTAGGGATACAACAAATATAACAAATATATATTCCTTATAAATTTCCACTCGATCCGGACATTTTCCAAAAATTTAAGTAGGTGAAAGTTGGCTTTATTTTTTTTTTAATTAGTGAGCACAATTTTATGATTGTCCGTAATATCGTCCTTGGAACACTATATACTGTATACCCTAAGTTATTTTTCTTTAAATTAAAAAAAATTTATGTTTACCTGTTACCACAACTGTTCGATCAATATAAAAGCATTTAAAATCATGAAAAACAAGTTGTTTTTGATCTTAAACCCGCACGTTTTAGCAAAAAAACTGTACGTCGTTAGTAACAATTCGAATAGATATTGATTTTAAAGTGTGAATTACAGTAGCCGTGTAATTGCTGAGTTATTAAAGAAATAAAGTATATACTAGAGCTTCGGTGAGGTCACAGGTCTCGAGGGGGGGTGCCCGGCTACGCTGCCACGGTGTCGAGCCAGGGCACTACGTTTTAAAGTAATGCCGTTATAATTCATGGTACAGTTATCTAGTAATCAGAATTCATATGTAGTTTCGAAAAAGCGTTTTGCAAGCTAAGTACTGATTAACTGTAGTGTAAGTCTAGCAATCTGCCAGATAAGAAACGTCCTACAAATAAAGCGAGTGTGCTACTTGCTTAATATACAATTTTTTTTTTTTTTTAATTTGAATGATACGTTGAACATCGAGTATCTGGTGTTGCTTACGTCACGGTCTTAAAGTTATGTCGCTATAATTACCCATATCTAGCAATCAGAATTCATACCTAGGTTTAAGAAAATATTTTCCAAGCTCACTGATTAACTGTAGTGTGTCTAGCTATCTGTCAGATTAGAAACGATCTATGCACCTGTACAAATTAGAGTAGCTGGTGTTCCTTTTGCACCATAGATTAATTAGATTAAAAGGAATGTATAAAATCAGACGGATAAAAATCAAGTATCCAGTGTAGCTTACTTAAGGGTTTAGTAAGTAATGTTTTAAAAGGGAACGTAATGTCTAGAGGTCAGTTTGCTACAATATCGATTGTCTGGTGTAGTGTAGATACCTATAACAAAACTTTATCAAACCTAGTATGTTACATCAAATACCTATATTATTTTATACTTATCCACATACATATTTTATATATAATAGATACATTTATATAAATTCACATTTTTTTAAGTAAACCATGTGTAAAAGGTATAAATCCATATATTGATATTTTTTTTAGATGACTAACCAACATTTTATCCTACTTAAGGATGATGTATTAATAATTTTATTTTTCATTATTCAATAGAGTAGTATTAATTAAAAAAAAAATAGCAAAATCTATAGTTTTAACTTTTTTAGGGTGGAGCGAATACTTCTATAAATAATAAAATAGTAAATTAAATAAATGTTGATTTTGAACTTCAATATACATTTGAATATGCATTGTTCTGATTTTGGCTATTTTTATTCAGTGCTTGAGATGTTATAATATTTATCAATTATAAAATGAAAAATTAGTTTCAATAAAAATGATTTGAAATTAATATTTAACTTTTATGTTTTAATAATGCCCAATGTCTAAAATCACACCATATAAAAAAAATAGTCAATATTATTTTGTGTCTTATTTAGTTAAAGCTGCATCAACAGCAGTTAAAAAAAACATATGTATATAATGAAATAAACATTAAACAGTAAGTAAAAATAAATGCTTTTTTATTACTACTTATAAAAACGGTCTAACAACACAGAATGTTGAACGCTAAAAAAATATGTCTAAAGGAAACAATTTTAAGTAATTAAAAAATATGATAAAGAAACTTTTGTTTATGACTGTGTAAAAATGCATTTATGCGTTGGTTAAATAAATATTATAAGGCCAGGGAGTACAAACTGGAATGATTACACTAGTATAAGATGGGCAATGTGACAAAATGTGTGTCATGTCACAAAATTAAATTAGATAATATAATATACTTATTTCTTATTAGGGTAGAATGAACACATACGTATTTTATGTAATAATGTATATAATAATTTAAGCATACTATAAGTAGCCCCAGGTGTATAAAACTAAAAATGTATTGTTTTTTTATCTGAACATCATTGTCAATTATTTTTTTAACTGCAATAAACATTTTTTAATAAATCCATGTATTGATATTATTTTTAGATAGGCAAATAAATATTTTTCAACTAAATAATTTAAAATTTTATTTCCATAAATAAATGTATCTTAAAAGTGAAATCAGATACATTATTGAAAAAATATAAAATAGGTATATATAAGTGTCAATTTCAAAGAATGTTATAAAAAAAACTATAGTTTCAACTTTAATGACCCCAAACAGATGGGTACTTGAAAGTGATCATATACACTTATATATATATATATATATATATATAATATATATATATATAAGTAACTTTAAAAGGTTTAAATATGTATTTATTTACTATATATTATATAATATAGAACTATATTATATATTATATAAGTCTCTTAACGTTTTTTTTCATATCAATTGAAAAGCAAAAATCTTACTTAGTATAAAATACACCAACATTGATAAGACTTTTAAGAAATCAAAAAGAAATACCGTTATTATAAGTTTAAAACGAGTCTATTAAATGCTAGGGTCCTTTAAACACTCATGTTTTATTAGATTAAAGATTTTTATGCAACTGAACAGGTGAACAAAATTGACAGATGTATAAAAAAATAATCATTATTCATTAGTGAAACCTTTTTAATTCTGATTATTTATAATAATTATAAGTATGCAATACAAAAAATCAATCTCTGTTTTTAGGCTACCTTACACTTATTGAATTGTAAACGTACCATTATAATAATTATTTATTGTTAGTGTTCCAATATAATATACTTATATATTATCATATAGAGAATACATATCATCGAGTGATATTAAGATACTGAGAATAGTGAACAACAAAACTTATCATATGATTGTGTTTGGAAAAAACATAAAGATATCTCGCATGCCTTTTGTGGTAGACGAAGACCTGTGGTTGCGTGGTCAGGGGTTACCATACTCGTGATGAGGTTGGTTCTCTTTCCTTATTTTCGTCCACGCCTTCACCTGGCCAACCATGTCAAAATTAGCGTTACTGAAATATATTGTTACTTATTCTAATGGGGGGATATTTAGACTTAAGACGTGGTGTCACTGTGTCATCGATACATGGCGCTCTAGTCTTATCCGTTCTAATACTAAGAATGTTTGCTTTGTTATGATTTGGGGCCCCTATCACTTTGCCGGAATGGCAAGTATCAGTCTCAACGTTAACCGAAATGTGTTACCTATTGCCGACGAGCTGTTTACTTTGTCAGTGTTTACTGTGATGTGTCATTTTTTTATTTGCAAAGAAAACGTAATTTCAAAAACATTACCGCCATTTGCGTCATACTTCAGTAAAACCGTTTCTACTTTCTACGAAGTTGCTAAATAATGCATACGACGGTCATATGAAGTTTTCTGTATAAGTCATCAAGTTGCCCATTGTACAACCCAACGGTGTTATTCAGAATTAGAAGCATTCATTCGTTCATTATTACAAGATGCAAAACATCACTATTTTTTTTATGGCTGCCATCATCATGGAAATGTCGTTGGGTAATTATTAGTGTTTGGTTTTTTTTTTAATCCTTCATTCTCTATTTAAATATTTAAAATCAACATTATAATAATATATTACTGTTGCGGCTAAGGTGATAAAAATTGACATGATTACCTTACATAACATGTGAAACCTAACACTAAATTCGTTTAATGCCGATATATACAGAATAACACAAGAGAGTAATATCTAAATTTCCATTTCAGGGTTATTCATGTTCTTTTTTTCTTTAGTGATCAACTGCCGATGTCTGTTTGTTTGTTTACCAACAAATATTATATAGGCACACAAGCCTGTTAGATTGTTATCAATATGTACGAGAGATCTTGACACTTACATAAGAAACAGATTATAGTTAATTTTTTGTAAATCATGCATGTTTGGGGATCGACCGATGTGTGTCACTAACGCTCGGTCAAACATCATAGAGGCAGTAGATTTGTTTTCTTTTATTTATTATATTAACACACTATTTGAGAAACATACCATATTAATATATGTTATACATATTTTTGATGTGCGGTCAAAATGTGGTTAGTCAAAAATTATAACTTATCAGTAGGATTTACTGAAAGTGTGAAAATTTGTTCTAAATAGGTTTTTAATTACATATACTTTAAATACCTCTGTCTAACTAATACAGGGTGATTTTTTTATCATGGGCCACTTAATATCTCATTGGATTTTATTAATAATTGATTTTTTTTCCATCGTTTTTTTACATAATGTGATCTCAATTTTCCACAAATTACTATGTATCTATCCTCCTCTCAAACTAGTTTTTTCGATAGCAAATTTTGAAACATATATATTTTTTAACTTTTTTAATTACGAATATTTTATAAAAATTTTGACTGGTTAATAAAGTTAAGATTGGAGGGGATGTGAAAATATAATTATCCAAAACCGGTAATCGACCAGTCAATATTTTTAATAAAAAAATGTCAATATTCAAAATTTAAAATTTTTTTTAAAATATGTATGTTACCATTTAAGTTTTAAAAGTTGCTATCAAAAAAACTAGTTTGAGGGAAGGAAGAAAATAATTTATGAAAAATTGAGACGTTTTATGAAAAAATAAATTAAGCTATTAATTAAACGTAGTGAATATTGAGTTACCCATGATAAAAGAATCACCCTGTCTATATATTTATTGACATTTTTTTACATAACCGAAAAAATTGTTAGTTACAAAAGCGTACCTGATAAGAGATTAGAAATGAGAAATGGGAGTGGAGGAGGGTGGAATGGTGCTAGGGTAGGGGTGGTAATGGGGTTGGGGTGGGATGGGTTTGGTAGTGGGGTTGGGAATGGAGATGGGGGTGGTAATGGGGTTGGGAATTAGATCTGGCATATAATCGAAAAAAGCATTACATAAAAAGCGTTACGATGTTATCTGATAAGAGATTAGAAATAAGATATATGTTGTGTTCACAACGATCAAATTATAACTGAACAATAAATTTAATGTAATTTAACAGGTCATATTTCCTATAATTTTTTTAAGGCCAGATATTATGAAAACACTAAGATATAAGCCAGAAACTTGATATGTTTACTAGCCATCTTAGATACTAGCTTGTTAATTTACTATTTCATTATCTATAATTCCACCACTACTCTAAGTTTATTTGGTACTTCAACGAGACGTGAAAATGTTCGGCAGAAAAACTTTTATATGTATACCATCGGTATCATCTATTTAATATACTGTACTATATTATACAGTTATTGCAAATTTTCAATGTAAATTTGTTTGCGTTATGGTTGGTGTATGATAATTATAAACTGTGGAATAATGATTTAATGTCACCGTGTGGTCATCACTTTGTGATAACAATGAAATATTTATTTTTTAATTACTTTTTGTCGGTACTCTTAATCTATAAAAATATACCGTTGTAGCAAACTTTATAAGTGTAGATTACTGACACACGTCAATACATTCGCTTGTGCACCTATGATAACATTGGAATTTTAATGGGTTTTTATTAGTTGGCGGCTTCCTATTGATCTCCATAATCGGCATTTTATTGGTTACAAAATTTGTATTGATATATTGTCTTGTAACTATATTAATGCTTTGTATGATTAAAATGCGTTAATGATTTCTATTACAGTCATTGTTGGAAAACCCATGGAGGGTGAGTGTTAAACAATATGTAATTTATACATGATATATGATATAGCAGTGTAGTTTCTTATATTTATTTATAAAAGTCGGTTTATTATATAAATGTATTGTTATGACATGGGAAACTAGTTTAGTTTTCCCCTAAAACTATTAAAAATATACAAATTACACTGGTATACTATATTAAAATGTATTTTAGCCAAATTAAAAAATTGTGTAGAAAACTTCATTGTACTCCAAACATATAGTCAACATGTCTTACAATTTGTTAAGTTATTTATGGCGAATTCTAGTCTGGTCGGGACTTATTAAAAAACAATGCTAATAAATTTAAACAACTAAGTGTTGTGGTAAATTAAGTTGATTCTTCCTTTTTTTTTGGTTGACTAGTTTTTTTATTGTTAGTTTAACACGTTATTAATTAAATCAATATTTTATTTTGATTTGAGTCGTGAATGATAAGCTGGCGTTTTAATTATCTATCCTCGATTAATTTGTGTAAATACATCAAGTTAAAATTAATAACGCCTTAATTGTTATATTTGAATTATGTTATCTAAGGTGCCTGTTTTATTTATTTATTTTGTTATTTATTATGTTAAAAGTATAAATACCATTTTCTGTATGCAGGACATGATAGTAATGAAGGCCAATCGTCTAGTTTAACTAGTAAGTGTACTTATATGGTATTTTACGGTTTTTTTTTTAATGTCTTTTATTTTGTACTAATAACACTTGCTGCACGCAGGAGTGGAATCCATTAAAGCTTGGATTCCTAATCGAGAGACCGGTATGAAATTTTAGAGCCTTTTTCGATTTTTTTGTACAAATATCTATTATTTCGTAGAATGTTAACTATGGAGAATTCTAGTGTAGTCGAGATTTTTTTAAGAAAAACAAAGCTATTTTGGAGAATTTTGCAGTATTCAAAATGCTGCAATGTAAATGTTTTTTTAAAATTTCTTTTATAAATAAATAAAAATAGATACATGCTAAAAGAATTAAAATATTTAAAAACAATGTATAATTAATTCAGCAGAGTTTTTTCTGATCATTTTTACTGTTTCATAATAGGCTATAAAATATTATATTTCACCAGTTATTCAAACTTAAAAGTGTATGCAAGCAAAAGTGAGATAGAGAAAAAATAAATTCTGTCCTGTCTAAAAAATTAAAGAATCAAATAGTTTCAGTACGAAAAGTTTACAATAAATTACTACTTTATCTGCTTAGAATATTGTTTAAAAGCCCCTTTGATGTTAGCTTAGTTATTTTTATTTATAATGATTTAAATTTATTATTATTTATGATGATTTAATGATTTTTTAACTATTTAATAATAATACTCATTAAAAACATAGAAAGTACTCTTAAATAGAGTAGCTACAAACATCTATATTATGCTTATATGGTATTTTACGAAAATTTTTTAAATGTCTTTTACTTTGTACTAATATCACTAACTGTATTCAGGAAAGACAATCGCAACAACTGAATCTGAGACCGGTATGTACACTTTTGTAGTCTATTTCGATATTTTCATACGAATATATATTGTTTTTTGTTAAAATATTTATCATTTTATATGAAATTTGGAGTATTCAAAATGCTACAATGTAATTGTCCGAAATTTAAACAGTCTGTAGAGTATCCACGACCCTATATTAATTTATGATTCTTACAATATGACTTATAATTAGGGTATTGTTTCAATAAATTTTAGATATATGTAGATTTAAAAATTTCTTTTATATATAAATACAAATAGATAAATGCTAAAACAATTAAATAAGTTTAATTAAGTTTCGATACAAAAAAGTAAATTTGAGGGACAAAGAAAAACTATTTTTCACTTTGCACAATAATTTCAGTAGAAATTTTTATTTAGTTTGTCATAGTTTTAATAAATAGATAAAATAAAAAATGTTTCATTATTATGCCTTTTCTTGTAACTTTGTACAATATATAATTGATTGATTAAAATACTTTTTTTTTCTTGCAGTTGTGGAGCGACCGTTAGGTACATCAATGATTATATTCTTACAAAAATATAAATTATTAGATTTTTTTCTTAAATAGCTTAACATTACACTTGAGCTATAAAATATACATTTTTTTTCAGAGTGCACGACTTGCGGATGTAATAGCAAATTTTTTTAATAATAATTTTACTTTTATTTGTTACATAAATATGTAAATAAGTACTATTAGTTATTTTATCTTTTAAAAGTCAAACGAGGTTTTTCCTTGGGTATGTAGAATAATATAATTATTGTATAACTATGTATAAGTATATAATATGTCCCTAATCGATTTACTGCATTGGTTTAAGGCGTCTTATTGTTTTTATTGTTAATTTGATGATATTATATTACTGTAAGTCTTGTCTAATATATACATATTTTCCATATTTTAGTTTTTAACAAGAGAGACCAAAGATGTAAGAGCTAATTAATTTAATCGATAAACTTTGCACTAATACAATATTTAATGGCAATTTAATCGTTCAGATCTTTTTATTTATAAAAAATACATACCACGATATTATTAGCTGAATTTAATATTACTTGCACAGGTCTACGAAAAAAAAATACTCTTCCAATACCATTTTTCTACTAAATAATTATTTAAGTAATAATTAAAACCTTTATTACAGTCTAAGAAAATTAATTTAAAAAATATTTTTTTGTTTCAGTTTGCGGCAATTGTCGTAAGTTAAAATCTTTTTAAACATTTTTTACTATTTCTTTTTGAAATAAAAAGTATTAAAATCCATATTATAGTTTAAAAAATTGGTTTTCTATATTAAGAATTGTTGAAAATTATTGATAATAATTGTAATAACAGATTTATGTTAAATTTCTTAAATAATGTCATTGAAGTTTTCTGGAGACATATAATTTATGATTCAAAATATTTTTGGGTGTGCGTTAATAATACAATTAAATAGAAAAATGAATAGCTAAAAACATTTATACTATGATGATAATATTCCAGTAATAATATTATACAAGGTCACCGTAAAATATCATAGTATAATATATTACAGAGACCTTACTTGGCCTTACCTAACTTAATCTAACTGATTTTTTTTAAATTATCTTTTATTTTGTACTAATAACATTTGCTTTATACAGAGGACCCAATCAAAATATATTGGAAAGTATCTAAGAATGATCCTGGTATGTATACTTTTTTAGTCTTTTTCGAATATTGTGTACAAATATATATTATTTGGTTGAATTTTATCATTTCGTATGGATTTTTGAAATATTTAACTGTTTCATTACAAGCTATGGATTATTATATTTTACCAGTTATTTAAATGTAAAAGTGTATGCTAGCAGAATAATTATAGAGAATTCAGACTAACTATTTTTCAATGAGCACAACAATTCTTTTATGAATTATTGTTTATTTTGCATTATTAATCGTTTATTATTAATGCTTATTAGATATTCTGAAATGTATAACCAATGTTAGTTGACAAATTGTAACTATAAAAATTAACGATATAAAACAACAAATAATCCTATACACATTTAAACGAAATTATCTGGATGATTTCTTAGGTATCGCAAAATGTATAAAATATAATGATTTAGTTAGCAAATAATTTGAAAATAAAAAATAAATCAACGAAAATAACAAAAAATTCGATTAAGAAGTAAGAAAACAACTTTGTGTTTCTTGAGTTAGTCAATGTTTTTGATAAAATGTGTGAACAGATTTTGACGAAATAAACAATAAGGTTATCCCAGATTTGGTCTTAAAATAAACATTTTTTTTTCAGAGTGCCAGTTTTGTGAAGGTAATTGTAAAAGAACAAATATGTTTAATTTAAATGTCACATTAACTTTTTTATATAAAATATATTATGTAAATGAAATAATATTAATTAACAGTTTAAAGTTAAAATGAGGTTTTCCATTTAACATATAGACTAATCGGAGATAAGCGATGTGATATTTGTTCCACTCAAATCCGTTAATGACTAAATAGCATTGTTATTATAATAAAAATATTGTACATCCATGGATAAGTGTGGATTTACTGTATTGGTTTAAGATATCTTAGTATTTAATTTTTAATTTTCTTAAAACTGACGATATAACATTACTATAAGTTAAGCCTAGTATATTTTTTTTTCATTTTTTAGCACCTAACAAGAGAGACCAGAAATGTAAGAGCTGTTTTTTTTAGTTTAATTAAATAAACTTCAAACTAATATGATATTTATGTGGAACTTATTATTTGTGAAGTAACATCCAATAAACTATAATGATTTAGTTATCTAAATTATATTTTTAATCAATACTAACTTAACTGAACATAGTAGAATTCATTTTTCTAATTTATGTTATTAATCGAGTATAATATTTACTTGCACAAGGCTATATAAAAAATTTCCAATGCCTTTCTTTAACTAAAAAATTATTTTTGCTAAAAGTTAAAAAATGTATTACAGTTAATGTCCAAAACATTAAATTTAAAAAAAATTTTGTTTCAGTTTGCAGTACATGTCGTAAGTTAAAATCTTTTTTTATCATTTTTAATATGTCTTTATTAAATAAAAATTATACGAAGTCATTTATAGTTAAACAAATTGGTTTTCTAGTGTAAATTGTTGAAAATGATTGATAATTATTGTAATGACAGATTTATGTTAAATTTCTTAAATATTGTCTGAGCTTTATTATTGATGTTATTAAAACTAATTGGTTAAATAAGGTAGCTAAAATCATCGATGTATTGTATTTTACTTTTTACGTTAATTTTTTTTTAATATGTTTTTTTCTCTTACTAATATATCACATACTGCGTGCAGGTAAGCTAGTCAGCAATGAGTTTCTGAAAGGTACGTATACTTTTGTAATCCTTTTCGATTTTTTTGTACGAATATATATTATTTTGTTAAATTTTAACATTTTATATTAATTTCGGAGTATTCAAAACGCTGCGATGTAAATGTTCAAATTTTAAACAATCTTAACGGTATCTCATGGAACTCGGTTTTTGTTTATTCGTTACACTATTATAGATCTTAAAATTGCTTTTTTAAATAAATGTCTAACCAACATTAGTTGACGAATTGTAACTATAAAAAAAAAATATTTAAAATACCAAATAATGCGAATGAAAATTTAAACTAAATCATCTGAATGATAACAATTGAAAGAATAAAAAAAGTTGTTATTATACTTTTCAACTGTAACTATATAAAATATTTAATTATTATTGATCGTATTGGTTGAAAGATTATAACATTATTTAAGTCTCACAATAAAAGCGTATACTAATTATTCAATTAAATTGTGGTCAAACCACCAACATTTTAACTAATAGATAGAATATATAAAGTTATATTATTATACCGTTCAACTGTAACCATGTAAAATATTTAATTGTTTGATTATTCATTTTTTTTTTTTGCAGATGACAGACGGAAAGGTACATAAATTATTATATTCTTAAAAAATACAAATTATTAGTTTCTTCTTACAAAAACTATTGTGTAAGGAAACCACTTTGAGTTTCTTTTGGCATCCAACTACTGAAGAATATATTCATACTAATATATTTATAGCAATTATTTTTAAAATAAAAAAAATATCAAAACTAACAAAAAAATCGATTAATAAGTAAGGAAACCACTTTGAGTGTCTTTTGTTTGTCGATTTTCTGATAAAATATGTAAACCAATTTTGACGAAATAGACAATAAGTTTATCCTAGATTTGATCTTGCCTGATTCAATTCTCGAGCGATTCATTTTTCTGTAAATTGAAGTTTAAATTAAGTTGTTTCAATTATTTTTTTTTTTTTTATTGGTTTTGATAAGTTGACTTAAATTATAAAATGAACACTTTTTTTCCAGTGTGCAAACATAGTGATTGCCAAGGTAATAACAAGTATTTTTAATTGTTATGTTACTTTTATTTATAATATAAATATGTAAATAAAATTGTATTAATTAACTACCTATTTAAAGTTAAACGAGGGTTTCCAATTAAATAATCGGCTAACATATGCGGGTTGATATTTTTTTAATTCTGATTCGTTAATAATAAAATAACAATTTATAATATAAATATTGTATAACCATGTGCAAGTATTGAAGTTTCTAAAAGATTTACTGAATTGGTTAACGACATCTTAGTTTTTAATTGAGAATTTGTATTATATTGATGGTAATATCTTACTATAAGTTTAGCCTAATATATATATTTTTTCCATATTTTAGCAGTTAACAAGAGCAACCAAAAATGTAAGAGATAATTAGTGTAATTTATAAACTTTGCATAAAGATAATATTTATGTTGAATTTATTTATTTATGAATTAACATCCAACGATCTATAATGATTTAGTTGTACAAATGATATTTTTTATCGATACTAACTTAAGTTAACATAGTAGAATTCATTTTTATAATTTAAATTATAAGCTAAGTATAATATTTACTTGCACAGGGCCACTAAAAAAATACTCTTCCAATACCTTTTTTTAACTAAATAAATATTTTCGCTAAAAATTAAAATCATTATTATTAAAAATATCCAAAAATATTAATTCAAAAAAAATTTTTTTGTTTCAGATTGCGGTGGTTGTAGTAAGTTGAAAGCTTTTTTTAACATTTTTTATAATTCTCTTATTAAATGCAAATTGTACAAGTCATGTAATTGTCAAGTTGTGGTAATATTGAAGGGTTTTTTAACATTTTTTTATTAAACGTTTAATAAATAAAAGTTATTCAAAGTATTATTATAGTTAAATATTTGTGTTTTCTAGTGAGAATAGTTGAAAATTATTGATAGTTATTGTCATGGCAGTTTTATTTTAAATTCCCTAAATATTATCTGAGCTTTATCATTGAAGTCTAGGGACATAAATATTATTATAATTAAAACTATTTTTGGGTGTATGTTACTAAATAAAATGGTAAATCAAATAGCTAAAACCATTGGTAGTATAATTTCGTGATATTTTATTTTCAGATAAACCGCTTAAATGACATAATATGTAAGTACTAAGTATAGTTTTACTCATTTTTTTTGTGTGGTTTAAATTATGAATTATTTATTATACATTTTGTTTTTTTGTGTTATAATTTAACATTTTTTAAATACAGAATGCTGAACCGTCATTCATCTTCATTCCGATAGAAAAATAATAATTTCATTCTATAGTAATATATGTTATAATTATTTTAACTATTGTATTCATATCTAACGCATTGATTTGTTGTAAAGAGTTTTCATTATCTTTTTAGTGTTACACAATTATTCAGTTTCCAAATATTAATAATTGTTATAAAATATAAACGATTAAATTATAATTAGTTTGTATTTCCTATCATCGTTTTTAATAACTTCATTGATTTGTAATATTTAATTAGTTACATAACAAATACACAAAATAATATAATATTATTATAACTATAAAAATGTATTTTGCTTTGATTTATTAAATTCCCTTTAGTAAATATCGTGAACATTTACATAGCGTATTATGCCACTGTAAATCATTCAATATATTATAACAATTCTTCATTCAAAACAATTTTTTTAAACGTTCTTTAAATGTATTGCTAATATGATATTATCTTTAACAAATTAATTTAATTTATATTTAATATTTTTTTTTTTTATTATGGATGTTATTGGATTAATGCATTAATTTATGAAGTATGGAGATTTATGTAGTTGGAATGGTCGACGATTCATGTTTCAATCGTTTGAACTCCAAATTATTATCGCTTATTCTCAATAAAATTAATATTTATGTATTATATACTTCATTAGAGCAATCTCACACTAACTATTTATATTATATAGATTATATTATTTCAAAGCTCTATTATACTTCTTGTTTACTAGATTGACAATGTACAAAACAAAATGCAATTAAAAATACCTTTTCATAGATCCTTAAGTTGTAAAGGGTGAGGTACCTAGTGAAACGGGGTTTCCCATTTAAATACATTGGAAAATCGCCCGTTTTCCTGTCCCACCCTGTATATTAATTTCTTGTGGTTTTCTAAAGAAAAATCGAGTTTCTAACATTTAAATTAAAATTAAATCTTATACTGGTATTTTGATGGTAAAAACAATAAATTTGACTTACATATATCACTTATTAGTTAAATATTACTAATGTTTATAGCCACTAGCTGTCGGCTGTTGCCTATTATTTAACAATAACCTTTTATAGAGATTTAAAAAATTGTGTTTTATTAATAATAGTATAAGAGCAGTATCACAATGTTAAATGTTGACGAGATTTGATCTAGTCATAAAATAAAGTATTATCATTTATGACTTTTAATTATTATTAAAATATATCTTATTTTGAACATAGTAATAAAATAATGAAATATTTTATACAAAATTAGAGCTACAAGTTGATAAACTAAAAAATAAAAATTAGCACGAAGCAGATTATCTACTATTGGATAATTTAAAGCGTGAATCTCTATGAATAACAGTACGACAATATGCAAAACATTAGTGTTCCTTTAAAAAAAATTGTGTAATATAAAATACATTTTGGGGCGGTAGACTGCATAAAAACCAACACTTAATCTGGATCCAATAAACAACAGTCCTCTTTATAATTTGCAGGTAGTTGGACATAATGTACTTATAGTTGACCTTCGGTACGGTCTGCAGCGGGCGATAAAATAACGACGGTGGTTTTGCTGTATCAGAATAATAAGGAGACGGATCGGTTTTTTTCCTAATAAATTGTGTATCTACTCTAATCACATACACGGTTTAGTCGTCTGTGATATCATGTAATAAACACAATAATATGATACCGACCATTGGGTCCTAACTCCTAATCTAACACGGATCCACGTTACCAACCGACAGTTTTTAGCGTCTGTTGGTTTCTCACATCTGGTACACCATGTTTGTAGTTGGGTTTAATTTAAATTTGACACAACTGACGTGAGCGGAAATACCAAATAAATATTCCTTAAAAATTTAACTTAATCCAACTTTTTTTCTCGAAATTATAGCCAGTAAAAGTTTTAACTTAAAAACTCGTACGGTTTTTTTTTTTTTTTTTTAAATTTCGACTGTGAAGAAGTAAACTTTTTAAACTATTACCCCCCCCCCCCCCCAAGTACCAACTAGATGAAATTTGTGATTTATAGAGTTCCTATTCGAAGGAATTGGTCCAATATTAAAAAAGTTACAGTGTATACAGCGAAAAAAAAAGCCCACATCAGAGTAAAATCAATACCTTCTCGCATTGTATCGAAGCTAAAATTATTGTATTTTTAGTCCGGAATTAGATTGAGTTGTTTATTCAAATAATCAATAGTTTTCTATTATGAAAAGAATCAAATAAAATATAGTACACGACCAATAATATTCGGAGCAATAAACAACTATTTACTTTTTTAAGTCCTTAAAAGGTAATAACTTGATAAAAATGCCAAAATATTGTGTATTATATTTTGTGTGGAAAAGCCAGTATGGTAATATATCTACGGCAAAAATAAAACCACTACTAAAGTGGTGTATATTATAAATGGGATTAAAATCCCAATTTCCGTAGTCTGCAACATCCGGATTCTTCAATCTTAAAATTGACTACACAAATATTGTACTAAAACGACGCAACAGGTCATGTGTTTATCATATAAATCATTGTCTATTACTATTTTAACAGCAATAAACATTTATTAATTATTCCATGTATTAATGTTATTTTTAGATAGGTAAATAAATATTTTTCAACTAAATAGTTAAAAATAATGATAGAAAATATATATGTATATCAATTTCAAAGAATATTATAAAACCAACTATAGTTTCAACTTTAATGACAATTATTAGATTTTTTTTTAGCGTGAATTATTGATTTCCATATAGATTGCCTACAACATCTAGATTTTCTAAAGTTAAAATATTAAAACCACAAATTAAGTAATAAAATAATTTAAAAAACCCCCAAACACACGAGGACTTGATAGTGATCATATATACTTATATATACATATAAGTAACTTTAAAAGGTTTAAATATTCATCTCTTTACTATATATTATAAAATATATATCCATAAGTCTCTTAACGTTTTTTTTTCATATCAATTGAATGTTTATATCATAATTTGAACAACCAACATAACATGAGTATAATTCTAACAGTGTACTTTATCAATGTGTATAAAATAAATGCATAAAAAAGAGACAATAATAATAATTTTAAAAGAATTCTGAATCAGAACAAAATATTCAATTTTCACCTATTAGAGCAACAGAGATGTTTAAAGTTGAATCTTAATAATAGTAACAATTGCCTCATTATTGTGATCTATTTAAAAAAGGAACTGTCAAATGGTAAACGAATCCTTTTACTGATAATTATAGAGCTATATAATTTAAGTAAATGCAAAAAAGAACAAAATTGACAGATGTATAAAAAAAAAATAATTATTCATGAGT